TTAGAAGTGGGTAATCCGCAAACTTCTAATACGCTTATATCTTGTCAAGAAAAAGGGGTAATCCACTCTCACTCAAGAAAAACAAAGCTCTGATATTGTAAGTGCACTCTTGTCAATCTGTCAGGAACAAAGACTCGATGAGGGAAAATATACACAAAAAGGCTATCTCGATATAATAAGTCAAAATATAAACAAGTAGATATATTAAAAGGAAACTGGAATGGCTATTGCCACAAGACAAGAAACTAAAGACTCTTGAACCTGGACTAGAAGCAAGAAAGGAGTTGACAAGAGTGAAGAAGCCTTCACTCTTGTCTCTATATATACTATCTAACTAAGGGCTACGTGGCGACATTCTATAGGACCTCCAATATGTGTTGACTTTGTAAGAGACATGCCTTGACTTACAAGGCAAGTTTTTCTACGTGTGGGCCACATAGTTAGCTTGATCTTCAAGCTAACAACATGTGTGGCACATGGCCAACTTGTTGACCACGTTTCTAATCCAAAAAGTCAATTAAAGACACCTATGAAGTCAAAGCAGCATCTAGGAAGTTTCTAGGAAGCTTCTATATTAAATATTATAGAATTAACTTACTTTTATCTACTTTTACTTACTTCTACCTATTTCTATATGTAATTATTAGCTTACATGATTATGGCCGTGACACTTGCATATCATTTATATCTACTGGAGTCAATAAAAATCCATCCAGTATTCCACGTGTCTCTTCTTAAACCATACAAGACAATGGATATACCAAGAAGATGACAAGCTCCACCTCCTCCTATAGAAGTAGACAATAATGAAGAGTTTAAAGTAGAAGTCTTAGATTCAAGGCGGCACCAAAATAAATTGGAATATCTTGTCCATTGGCACGGATATGATATTAGTGAACGTACATGGGAGCCAATAAAGAATCTTGTAAATGCAGCAAAGGTGGTGGAGGCTTTTCATCGACGACATCCATCAAAATCAAGATGAATCTTTATAAAAGAAACAACATCTAGGCAAGATAACATTCTACTTTCAATCCTTGTTCATAGCTTCTTTGTATTTGTGACGTTCAGGAGATGGAGAACCAACAACCAGTGGATTCGACTCAAGAGCCTTCATTTGCTGACCTACCGGATGAAACATTACGATTGTCACAACCTTCAAGATGATGCAATTGAAGAAGATCTTCAAGAATGACATGTTCTTCTTCGAATAGATGGCGAGATACAATGCATTTGGTATCACGATTTGGGAAGGGACTCCCGACGTTTGGTGATTTTACTAGAGGTAGGAACAACTCCTGATGGTGTTCCAAATGTTCTATTCGAAAGAAGCTATGAAGGCCTCAATAATGATCAAATAACTTGGTGGTCTTCCCGCCCTGGTATGGGACACTACCGATGGTTGAGAGGCCGTATCAATCATCTTTGAAGAGAACAAAGATCAGAGTATGTGGCGAATACAATTCGTCGTATCATAGATTTCCTCAACATATGATGACCACTCCTTGTGGAACTCGTCCCTAGAAGGGAGGGTAATGTCACGGACATACTCATGTAAGCTAGTAATTACATATACAAATAGGTAGAAGTAAATAAAAATAAGTAAAAATAAGTTAATTCTATAGTATTTAATATAGAAGCTTCTTAGAAGCTTTATAGATGCTGCTTTGACTTCATAGGTGTCTTTAATTGATTTTTTGGATTAGAAACGTGGTTAACAAGTTGGCCATGTGCCACACATGTTGTTAGCTTGAAGATCAAGCTAATTATGTGGCCCACACATAGAAAAACTTGCCTTGTAAGTCAAGGCATGTGTCCTACAAAGTCAATACATATTGGAGGTCCTATAGAACGTCACCACGTAGCCCCTAGTTAGATAGTATATATAGAGACAAGAGTGAAGCCTTCTTCACTCTTGTCAACTCCTTTCTTGCTTCCAGTCTAGTTTCAAGGGTCTCTAGTTTTCTTGTCTTTTGGCAATAGCCATTCCAGTTTCTCTTTCAATATACATACTTGTTTATTTATATTTTATTATCTTTCTTTGAGTAAAGGCTCACTTGTCTAAATTACTTTTTCATCGAGTTCTTGTTCTTGACAGCCTACCATTCTATGTTCTCATTGTAAAAAGATAGGATATTAGGAATCAAACTATATTAAGAATAAAAATAAAGCTCTAGCAAACTATACCATAACAACATCTAATTCAAGAAAATCAAAAATAACATAAAAAAATGAAGATGAAAAAGTAATCCCACCTTTCTTTTATATTCATACTTACTTCACACAAGCATTTTGCTTTGTCAAATCACTGAACTGAAAAAAATAAGAAATCATCAATGGATGGGCAATTCATGAGCTAAACACCATCTAACTCACACCAAAATATAATTTATTAACTTTCAAATTCTCTCACCTAATGATCACCAACTGCATCTTAGAAACAATACAACACTCTCAATTTATAGATAAAGAATAAGGATCCATGATTCATTTCTTAAATTTTTTATATATTCCAGATTTATATAAAAAATTATTTTTAGTATACAAATATAATCAAACTGGAAGAGGACTTCTAATCAAAAATCAAACTTATAAGCTATTGAATTAAGATCATTAGATTTTTGCTCAATCACTTCTCTATAATAAATTTTACTTATTGTATGGCATGATTTACAATCTGGAAATACATGGAGTATCTAGTTGTAGAGAGTTTAGTTTTAACTTATTGGCTAGGCTTCAATAAGTGATTTATTCTACCTTAAACTTATACACTAAGTCTTGGCTTCTAAAACCTCTTCACTAAATATAAAATGCCCAAATTATAGCAAAAATCATTCAAAATATATTTTTTCTACAAAAGATTTTTTCTTCTTGAACTTTAGAAATTTATATCTCTTGATCCAACTATTCAATTCTTTTCAAATATTTACATAACGTAGCTACTACTCTTAAGTTTTACTACAAAAAATTAAACTATAAAATTACTATGAGTCTTCTAGCATCTTAGAAATCCTAGCAGATACATTAAATCTTAACTTACAAGCACCTAAGAATTATTTTCTTTACATCTCAAAAATCCAAAATTCAAATGCTACAAAATTTAAGTAAAAGATTTAATTACATGACTATACACATTTTTAAAATTTTTTAGCCAAAATCTTGTCAAATTATTTAAGATATTGCTTAAAACACAATCACTAATAAACCAGATTACTTACTGCCTTTAGATTGCAAGCACTGACTTCAACTTCCAATATCTCCTTTATTCCAACTTAGAATTTATTAAGAAGTATATAAAAAGTATAGCTGAGAAAGTTTTTTTTTCAACTACAGTCGCTAATCCTTCATTTCTTTTTTTACATGTATGTTATATTCAAAAAAGTGATAGTGGGTACAAAATTATCACCTTAACTTTGAGCATCCATATCTCTTTCATATATACTCCAAAGCATACAAAATTTATACCAAAATCATAGTCAAAAATCTAAACTTGCTAACTACAGCTTTCAAAGTTCAAATGAACTCAAAAGAATAACCCTAATTCCTAATAAGGCCTTGGGCAGCCTCCTTGAAGCTCATTGGGCATGATTTTTAGCCAATAGGAATGGAAATTTTTTTCATCCATCTCCATTCATCTATTTAGATGCCCTAACTTCTCTTTTTGTTAACAAGACCCTTCTCTAATCATTTTTTTAATAAGATGTATATAATATATGCCCTAAACATCAAATAAAAGAAACAAAACAAGACTTTAAGGGTCACCAATGTCTAACAAATGTGGCTTTAAATATGTAAAATTTACTATCAACCAAAATTAATCTTAAAAGCCACTATCAAAAGAAAATAAAGTTATATAAATTCTAATAGTAATTCTTTTAAACAACCTCCTTTTAAAGTAGTAATCTAATTACATTCTACAACCAATTAAAAACCACTAACATGGCTCTTACTATGTTTCTCAGTAATTTGTATATCAAATATATAAATACAATATTTTCACATGGTAGCCAAATCACAACACAACAGTGTTCTTCATGCTATAGTCATAGCCAACACAGCAGTCATAACATATGTTTTACTCATGGCTCCAACTTTTATTTGTCAAATCCCAAACAATAATATTATTGAAACTTTTGAATAAACTTGTATCTTTTCACCTTATTCTAATATCTTCATGGCCAATGGGCATCATGCATAAAAACCTTGTTTGCTGCCAACGTTGATTCAAGCTTTTAGTATTGAATTCAAGCTTGATCAATCTTTCCAACTAACATCTTCTATTACAATTCAACTGTGATATTATTGCCTAGGCCATATCAACAATTTTAGATTATAATAATTAATTCAAAATCAAATTATGCATAGAATTTCTTTAAAGAGAGTTTCTTTACATCCATGTTTTACATGTATTCACAACAAACAAACTACCACAACATTTTCTAAAGAAGCTACATTCAAAGCCATTCATCTTTTGGAAATTATTCATCTAGATTTAAGTAGCAAAATTACAACATCCACTTTTACTAGATATGAATATCATGTTATTTTTATTGATGATTTTTCTAGATACATTGTTCCTAGACTTCTTTCACAAAAAAAAAATGAGTGCTTTGAATTCTTCAAAAAAATTCATGTAAAGATAGAAAAACAAACTGGATATAAACTAAGTACTTTCTGTTTCAATCAAAGAGGAGAGTATGTCTCCTCTGCCTTAAATCACTACCTATAAGACAATGGCATACAACGCCAATTAACTACTGCCTACATCCTTCAACAAAATGGGGTTGCAGAATGAAAAAATAGAACTTTACTCAATGCAACCTAGTATATGTTATATGAAGCAAACTTATCAAAGCTATATTGGGGGGAGGCAGTTACTTGTGCAACATATCTTCAAAACCACATTCCAACCAAAGCTATTCCAAGTAATGCCACTCCTTTTGAATTGTGACACAACAAAAAACCAAATTTATCAAATCTCTGTGTATTTTGAAAGCAACTGTTATGCAAAAATTTCTAATGCATTAAAAATCAAACTCGACATGACCACAATTGAATGTATCTTCTTGGGATACAGTCACACTAGCAAAGGCTATAAGGCTCAAGATGTACACACAAAGGCTATACTTACTTCCCGAAGTATAATATTTCTGGAGGATAGCCTATCTGTTCAAAAGCATGATATTCTTTTGCCTGATCCTGAAATTTTTTCCATCGACTTTTGCCCTATGGCGTCCCTCCTCGTTTTAACAATGGCATGCTCTACACAGCCGATCCTACTTCACCCAGCAAACTTGTTGTACCTGCATTGCCACTAGCTCTCGAAGTCCTTACCCTACTATTGGTTCTCGAAGTCCCTGCCCTATCACTAGTTCCCAAATTCTCAGCGCTCCAGACTGAACCACCCACATCTGCTCTGCCGAGTCCTTCTCCAGCCCCTGCTGACCACCCAGCACCAGCCGTCCCTCCCACACTTGCCATTACTATTGAGCATACATGGCTTCAGCTTGCCTAGGATAACTCTTCTCCCACCAAATCACTGTCACTACAACCGCCTCGGCTCGAAGTTGTGTTGCCCATGCAACTCCTCCACCATGCCTTTCCTTCATCGTTGGCCGTTGCAGCCCCTGCTCCTATGCCGACGGTCAGTACTCCTCGCCTTCCTCCACATTCAGCTCCAACTCGTCCTCTCTGCGCCTATGAAGTTGAACGATCTGGCATCGAAGTCATGTCTCACATGCGGCATCATTCGTAACAATCCAGAAGCTCCTACCTTGAGCCACTGTCCCTAAATCCTGACCCTGGTACCTCTTCCGCTGCAATACCGTCCCTCAGCCCGGTATCTGCTCTCTCCCGCCATACCTCCTAATCAACGAAGGGAGTTCTCCCTCCTCGCAATCCCAATGAAAATTATGACCTTGCCGTTTTGATACCTCGATGGCCCCCTGTTCTTCCTACGAAAAAATGGGCACTGTATACATTGAATCATATTCCGCTAGAGTCCATCTCATACAAACATGCTCTAACTTATCCCAAATCCGCCTATTGGAAGGCTGCCATTGCCAATGAGCTCAATTCTCATGCGGCCAATGGCACTTGGGTCTTTACCGACCTCCCTCCCAATTGGCGGCCAATCACCTTCAAACTCAAATTCAAGAGCGACGGCCACATTGCCCGCCTTGTCGCCTGAGAGTTCAATCAAATTTTGGGGCTGGACTACAACGAAACTTTTTCCCCGGTTGTTCGGATCCAATTAATCCATCTCATCCTTATCCTTGCCGTCCAACAAAACCTGCAAGTCCACCAAATAGACGTCAAGACAGCATTCCTGAACGGCATTTTGCGAGAAAAAATCTTCATGGAAGTCCCACCCGGCATTACTCCTCCATGCCCTGGGTTAGTTTGCCGTCTCCACAAAACATTGCACGGCCTGAAATAGTCCTCGAGGGAATGGTTTCAAGTCATCGGCGCCTACTTTATTACAATGGGATTCGAAAACTCCACGGCCAATTGCAATGTCTACCGCCTAAGTTGTGGCTCCTTCTTCGTCATTTTCTTACTCTAAGTGGACGACACCATGCTCGCCAATAACAGTCTTTCGCTTCTCCACGACCTCAACAACAACATTGAGGAAGTAGATTGAAGTATATAAAAGTAGATTAAATTGATAATATCTTGGTAGGAAGCTTTTAGAAGCTTCATAAACACAAATTTGTGTCAAAGATACTTTTAAAAAAAAATCCTTTGTAGAGAATGAGAAGACTTTTAGAAGACGAGAAACAATCTCAAGTGATAATGGAGGATAATAGAAGCTTCTAAAAGACTATAGAAGGTTCTTAAAATTTTCTAGACAATCATAGAAAATTCTATAAGCTTTAGGAGAATTTTTGAATGCTTTAATAAATACTAAAAAAGATGCTTAAAAGATGCTTTTTAAATATTTGAATTATCAATTTTTATAAATATTATTTATATTTAGTCAAAAGATCTTGTTTTATTTACAATAAAAATAGCTTTATGGTAGGTTAGAAGAAAAAAAATTGCCACAAGAAATTGCACTAGAAACATTTATGATTAAAACTTATGAAAAAGCTATATTTGACTTACTAATCATCTATTTGTTTGTACTATTATTTTAAAAATGTATATATTCTTATTTTTTAACTTTCCTGTTTTATATTCTTTCAATTATGATAAAATTTTAAAAGATAAGAGAACTTAAATAGAATAATGCAATATCAACTTACAAAAAGATGATTTACAACCTCTTCCATGTTCAAATTATACAAAATAATAAAATACTTTTTTCTTTTTAGAGAATTTTTTTTTAAGTTATGAAAAATGATTGCTGATATTCAATATGTTGATTTAGCTACATGCTAAAAAAAATTTGATATAAAAACAAAAATAAAATGGCTAACTGTTTTGAAATTGAACAAGATTTTAGAGTATAGTTGCACACATGTAACAAAAGTACAAGGCCATAAAATCATTGGAAAAAAAAAAAAAAAAAAAAAAAAAAAAAAAATTGAGAAATTGAAGTGTTAGACAATAGATTTTCTTAAGTATTTGACTTCACATGCAAGACTGGACAAAGTGATTTACAAACACTGCGACAAAAGAAATCTCTAAACCCTTTTTATTAAAATCAACGTTACTTATTAAAAGCTTTTTGCATAGTTATATTTTGATAAGGCTTAAAAATAACTCTGCCACAATCATCTAAAAAGCTTTTAAAATATTTATGAGCTGATTGAGAGGTTTTTATTTTTTTTTTAAAAAGAAAGAGGTTTTATAAAGATAGAGGAATAGTAAGAAGGTTTGCAATTTGATTATGTTCTAGTCTTTTGTAAACTTCTAAAGTCATGTTTTTAAAATGAAATTTAAAAGACAGATATATGATTTATTATAACAAAATTATTATTGTTATTATTTTTTTGAATATGTTTTTTTGTACTCAATGTATACAATTTTCAACTTAAAAAATCACTATTTTTTATGAACAAATAATTTTTTTTTTATATTACCTAGACTTTAGTATAACTTCCATGGCATTGAATGCAAGTGAATAAAAATGGATATAACATGTAATAATTGGATTTCAAATTTTAGCCTCTTTTTTAATAAGATTATTGTAGCATGGATTCATGATATATATACAACAAGTGTCTAAATCCATTTGAGATATGGAGGAAAAATACTTCTGTTAAAACAATCTTGACAAGTTCTCTGCAATTTGAAACAAAATACAAAAGATACATTGAGTTTAGTTCCTATGCAAGTTTTTGTGTATTTCATAATATTCCAGTTATGAAATCATTGATTACAAAGATAAGAACAACCAATTTTAGCAATAAACGAGTTTTCACTTGTGAAAGATTCGGAGTTGAATTTCATGAAAATACGTTATAGCCCAACAACGTATTTAAAGGAATTGGAGTTCTATGTGACGCATAATTGCATGTATCATTGTTGATAGATTTGAATTTTAAGTGATGTTATTTAAGCTTAGAGGGTGTCAAAATCGGCTTTAACATGCCTCAATTTAAAGCTAAAAAGTACGTTGGGGAGGTTGCACCCCAGGGTGGGAAATTAGGGTTTCAGAGCTTCTGAGCGACTGTTTTCACGGCATCGGCAAGTGCAACAAGCACTCGAGCCAAGATCGCGGTATCCTTGGGCTTTGGATTCTCCATCTCCACCGCCTCTTGGCGCCTGTCACTCCTGTCCATCACCTTCATCAAGCAATCGATAATCTCCTTAGACCCGTCTTTCATCGCATGCACAAAATCGTTTAAGACGACAGGATTGTCTAAGCTGGCTCTCGTCTGCTGCTGCTGCTGCTGCCGTTCGTGATGCATCTTCTTCCCCCTTCTCTTCCCATTCGAATCGGTATCCATGGATTCCATATCATTGCCCTCACTGCTCCCGAAATTGTCCTTGGTTAACAAGTTAGGGGTGGAACTGGATACGGGAGTTTTGAATTCTCGATCTTTCCATCTTACTCTGTCCTTTTTTTCCTCTTTCTCATTCTGGATGGCGTGAAGACTGTAGAAAACAATCTCGTCCATCTGCGGCGGCAGGCTGGCATCCTTGCGCTCCTTGTTGGTCATGTCTTTGAAGTAATCTTTTGCACCACCGCCGCTAACGTACTGCCACTCACGCACAGCTTTGTAATCCTTCATCATGTTTTCCCACTTGTCTTGGCACTGGCTGCCGCTCCGTTCCATCTCCTTGGTCTCCATGTGCATCGCCACAATTCGCCATTTCTCAGCTGCTGGCAGCTTTACTCCTTGGCTCTTGTATTCCTGGCAACGCTCCCGTTCTTCTTTCTTCGCTTCGATCAGTGTCAGCATTTCTGTGACCGTCCATGGCGCACTCCGACTTCGTTTCTTGTTACCTCCACACCTTCCGTTTAGGCCAGAGTCGACGGTACCCACACATCCGAGATTGTGCAGCTGTAGCTGAGTTCCATTCACTGGGCCACAAACATCTTGCTGTATAGGATCTGAGGCCTCGCAGGTCCCGTTCTCCTCCATCCGCTGTTCTTACAGGGAATCTCGCATACTGCAGTTGATTGAGCGTTTTTCTTCCACCGTTAGGTCTGATGCAGACGGCTCCCTCTCCCATTCATACCCTATCCTCACCACTCGCATCGATTTTCGCCCTCTCTTGAGTCAGGAAGTTTCTGAATCCATTTACGTGAAAATCCTTGCTCAAAAAAATAAATAAAAATAAAAATAAAAACTTCTTACTCCCCTGATCCCTCGTCACCTGCATTAGTACTTCAACATGATGTATACGCAGATTTGCGACACTAAAGATCTAGTTCCTCTTAACGTTATTGCAGGTCCAATCTATCTGTTGCATCGCATCCTCACTCGTTCGCAGAGAAACATGTAGCACTTGCACTGACAATGGCAGCAGCTCTCGAGATGTCGCGTTACATCAAGCGCTGCTTCATTGTGAGTGGCTAGAAGTTTGAAGCGTGACGCATGGGTTTCTAATATTTGTTGAAATTATGAAGACCCTTCACGTTTGATCGCTTTGTGGCGTGCACCGATCTCTGAATGCGCGCACAGCAAAAAGAAAAAAGAAAAAATGAATAACTGGGAGGTATGATGTCTGGATTGGGAATTCCATGCGATGCGGAACTTGTAGCTAGATCTCCGTGGATAAACTGAAAATAGGGCAGGAACTGGTGCCCTGCTGTTTAGTGGTAGTTAACTGAACTGCAAAAGTACCAACCGCTCCCAGGCTTTCCAAACTGTCTCTGCTTAACTCACAACTTTCATGCGGTCATTTGTAGGATCTGCATCTTCCAACTCAATCCGATCCATCGACTTGTATGTTGAAAGGAGGAGCACCAGATCACCTCTCTGAGGCAGTTTAGTTTCTTTTGTAACCTCGCTTAGATTATTGTAATTTGAACCTATCCTACAGATTGAGTGATTCCAGACTCAAGGCAGGCCAATTCACGCGGTTGTGGACATGCGATTGTGCAAAGAAAATCCATTCAAACCAAATTAATTCGAAAATAGTTCAACTAAGTCTCGATCACGGTCTATGTTCTCATTCTGAAAGTACCTGATCCTTTCCATGAACTGCAATTGGATCTCTCTTTCTGAAGCCTACAGTTCTCACTTCAAAATGACGTCTGTCGTTGGCAAAATTGTTTCCCCTCATTACCTGCTCTCGAAGATTATGAGGTATGATCAGTGGGATCGTCAAGTCTCATGCGGTGCCCACGGTTTTCGACCACTGGTGAATTTTTCTCACGATGTCACTGGTCCGCACAGCCGACAACGTGCCATTTTCTCTCTACGTTCTATTGGATGAATCACGCTCAGTTAGGCTTCAGCATTTCTCATTCCGCATGTATATCATGAATTGTTTCCGCATCAGTGTAGCAAATTCATGCACGAACGATCTAACATTTGAAGGATCATGCTTCCTTGGTGTTGATTAAGAAATGACGACATTGAAACCAGATGATGATGCATGGTGAATCGCCAACCTGTCTACCGACTGCCAACAATCCTAACAGTCAGCCTAGGGTTCACAACAATTCATGAACGCAACAATTTCCTTTATCACAGCCTGAGAACAATCTCTGACTGCTCTAGAAATGCCGCAAACAAGTTGCCTCATGGCCGATACTGCAGTCCAAAGTTACAAAGAAGGTAATGTGCATTCCACGACGCGCATTGAGTCGAAAGTTGAAGAAGCTTGAAAGATTGTTTGCGTGTTTCCTTGAATTGGCAAACTTGATATGCTGCGATCGATCGCTGGAGCGTCGCTGCGATTGACGATAGATTCGCTCGGCTGTGACTTGCCGATGTCAAGCCCGCTTCGCACCATCTGCTGGAGCTCCAAAGAGTTCTGCAAACGATGTCTACAAAAACTAGACCAGAGTGAGTATTGTCTTTTTACTTCTTTTCTTTTTCTTTAATTTTTTAAAACACTTTATGGAAATTCATTTTTTTACTAGAGCTTCTTTATCTATTTAACATTCAAAAATTACAAGTGTCTTCATAATCGCATTAATTTTGTGCTCCAAAAAGTGACAAAAAGGAAGAAACATAAAATGAAATAAAAGAAAAGAAAAGAATAGATGAATGGAAGGGTGATGAGTGTGGACATTGAATGAAGTGTCGAACGAATGAACGAGCTAGACGATGAGGATAAGACGAACGCGGTCACGCTGCAGCAATGAAACCCGGCGTCGAAGCAGGCTACGAAATCGGTGTGTCGGCGGGTCATTGGATGCATCCGGCATCGAATTGCTGGAGAGCAGCAAGGAGGCTTCGTGTTGTGCTCACTTACTGCTAAAAGCCCAATTTCACAGACAGACCATTCTCTGGAGTGTTGTTGTTGTTGTCCATGTGCAGCTGGAGCTCCGCCTGGAAGGTTCAGGGTTGAAGTGAATTGTGCAGCTTTCCTTTGTGTTTTGTTTTCTCACGATTGCCATGGACTATACGTCTTCTTCTCTGACCAATCTACACTTGCGAGAGTTGCTTACGTTCCACCTGCTGTTCTCTTCTACATTGTAAGTGGGTGTGACACAGGAAGTCTGCATTCGTTTTCGTGAAGATAACCTGGAAAACACCTGAACGAACTGAACAGTGCACAGAACTTCTCACAGCCGGCAAGACGTTGCTTGATTCACAACCTTGGAATCGTTTATGCTGCTACTTTCACATGTCTGCTGAGCTGCACCCATTCATTTATATCTGTTCAACCTGGACAATATAAAAATACAGCTTAAGATCAAACTATTCAGAGTCACAACAGTGCATAGCATTCAGCACCTTAATCCAGGATAATAGGGTAGCAAACAGCCGAATTTTAGCATCGTGGGTAAGGGTCATCAGTTTCGAGAGTGGAGGTGATTTTAGCACATATTCAGCTTTAGTGAACTTCTTCAACGGTTGTGGAGAAACCTCCTCCACAGAGAGGTCTATATCTGGTTGCAAAATTATTTTAGAATCTGAAGCACAAATGGGGCACAAGAGCTTTGTATATTCAGGTTCAATAGGGTTGGCATAATGAACAGAAATCAGTGTATGTGTGAGAGTAAAAAGTTCTCTTTTTGTTCAATTCGAAAAGATGGTTTTCAAACAATTCGAATTGTTTAGCGATTCAAGGTCAAGCAAAATGATATTTTCCAGAGTATTGGTTATACCAATGAAAGTCTCTTTGCTTGCGATCTTGAAAAGTGTTAATTTGTTTAAGGTTTATCAAATATTAATTGATGTTTATTCAAGCATCTAAATATTTTCTTGTGATTTTGTTCAAAATTAAATGCTTGTTGGTTTGAAAAGTGAATTGAGTATTAGGATATATGTTTTATGGTTGAGAACTTGTCTCAATTTTTTTTTCACTGCCCAAACTTAAGTACCATTAGGCTCCTTGTTACACCCCAGTTCTAATTAACTAGATTGTCACATCCTAGGATGGGATTCCTAGTCCAAACAAAAATTGCTCACAAAGCAATTAAGCTATCACAACATCTTCCTCTCACTCATTTAAACAACACAAATATATGCTTACGATTAATTGTATACAACATACCTCCACATACATGATACGCACACTATAATACAAAACCAATACAACAAAATTTTGTGAGAAGTGGTAGCTTTCTTCTTCATTATGTAAAACTTGATTACATATTCTAACATATGGAAATTATTTATAATCAATACTTCTTGCTCAATTTCTATTGACTAGTATCAAGATAATGCAATCTATTGAAAATGTGGTAGCTTGGTTAACTAGAGCTTTGTCTTCTTAACAAAAAAAACATGTCCTCAAATCAAACTTCAAAAATTGAGATACTCCTTTCCTTACTTCTTCAATTAAACTTCTCCATTTGTTGATTTTCTAATCAATTCTTATACAACTGGTCATTGTTTAAACTTTCAACATCTAAAATTTTTTACCTACAACTATCTTCTAAAACATCTAATTTTCAACTATCTTAACAATTATCACAATATCAATGCATCAAGGGCTAATCAAATTTTATGTATCATCTAAAGTCATATGCTTACCAATTCAAGTACAATTAGCTTTGAATCTTTATTTTTGTATTATAATACAATTATTAGCTCAAAGATAAAAAAAAATATTATATTATAGAGGAGCTTAAATAAAAATATTGTAGCAAATTATCTTAAAAATATAGATAATAGACAAGGAAGTAATAAAAATTAATAAGTGTTAATGCTATATTTTTGTAAAAAAAACTTCTATTTACTTTAAAGGACTATACATAAGGCAAATCAAAATGCAGAAGAAAAAGAATTGATATAGAAATTTTTAGAAAAGACTTAAGGTAGTTTTTAGCAAAATTTATCTTAAAAAAATAAGAATTGATACTAAAATAGGACTCATTATGAATCCTCATTAAAATAAGACACTAAGGCACAAACTTACATAGCTATAGTGATTCTAGAGTTCTTTGATTAATTGGAGAGTTGAATTTGAAAGCAAACTTATAAGAATATTTTTTGGGCATTAATTTTAGGTAAATTAAGTTTATATTAAAGTTGTAAAGGCTTTACAAAGTTGGGGTTGTTTTAAAGATGACTTTGGATTTTAAAAAATACAAAGAATTCATATTTTGGAGAATTGTGTGAGATTGATGGATGATCTAAAGATAGAATATTGTTATTGTATGAATAATATTGTGTTCAATTTGTTTTATAAAAGTTAGAAACATAGTCCTTAGAACCTTCTAGAGACAAGTTTCTAGAACCTTTTAGAAGCAAGTCTCTGGAACCTTCTAGAAGCTTCTTAGTTGGTAGAAGATGTTAAGAACATAGTCTTTAGAACCTTCTAGAGATAAGTTTCTAGAACCTTCTAGAAGCAAGTCTCTGGAACCTTCTAGAAGCTTCCTAGTTGATAGAAGTTACTTGAGAAGCTTCCTAAATAGGAGTATATATTGGAATCGAGGCTGAAGAGTTCTTCAATCTCGACAACACATCTCTTGGAGCTCTAGCTCACCTCTCTGGTGTTGTTCTTGTATTCATCTAATTAATCTAGGTCTTGCCAGTTCTTCTTGAACTTCTTGTTAGATCTCGAGTTTGTATTTCTGTGTCCGTGATAGTTTGTCGAGACTTCACTCACCTCAGATATCAGAGTTAGTTTCTTCCTCGTTAAAGTGCGGATTACCCCTCTGCTTGGAAGTGTACTAGCATTTTAGAGGTTGCGGATTACCCTCCTCTAAATTGATATTTCTTTTGTTATAATATTGGAGTCTTATTCTTCTTGGAGAGAGTAGATTACTCCTTTTCTTAAAGCTCTTAAGGCATTTTAGAGGTTGCGGAGTACCCTCCTCTAAACCAATATTGTCTTCTTGTAGAGTCATTTCTGTCTTTCTCTTAGAATGGCCAAAAGCCAAGACATGAGTATGATGGAAAGTTCGAAGTCCAAGTTATATGCTATCATGAATGCCCTCGCTACATTATCACAAAGAATTGCAGAGATTGAAGGAGTCGTGGCAAGGCTTCATAATGATGGAGCCTCTGAGATGGCACAATCTAGGTTGCACCAGCCTCAAATTTCTGCACTTGGAGAAGCAACTTTGCCTCAAGTTCGACAAGCACCGTTGGTTCTACAACATAAGGAGCTCCGAGTTAGCCTTCCCGACAAGTTCGATGGTATACGTTCCAAGTTTCGAGGATTTTTCAATAAAATCAGGTTGATAACAGTTTTACAGCTCGAATGCTATCCAATGGAGGAGTCACATGTTGGGCTTGTTAGAACCTTACTTACAGGGCAAGCTCTATCATGGTTTGCTCCTTTGTTTGAGAAACGATCGTCCATACTAAAAGACTTTGAAACCTTTTTGGAGGCATTTGCGGAAGCATTTGATGAACACAACAAGGTTCGATGGGCTACAACAAAGATCCGGTCACCACGATGTCGTATTACGTGCTTTCCTGCTCGAGAACGAGCCGGGCGTCTGGCTGTAGAAGGTAGTATGGAGATTCACCGATAGTCAAGCAGTCTATCAGTTTTTGACTGCTGGAATATAAACGACTGCAACAATGTACCGTAAATCTATACGGATGCTCTTCGACTACTTGTCGAAGTCTTTTTTTTTTTTTTTTTTTTGCCCC